TGTTATGTTATGTTATGAACATAATAATACTTTTATCAACATTTTTTCATAACCGAGAAATAAAAACATGGACATACAAATTGTACCGTACCCAAATGTAAAACCTAGCCATGCTCGCTAAAATACACAGCTTTTTAAACAAAGCAGAATCTGGCAAAATGCCAGAAAAAGATCAGAACAAAGGAGGATTAGAGCAACTTAACAAAACATTTCTTTTATCCATCACTCATTGCCGTCAACACAAAACGGTTCGCAATTTCACTCCCATAATCGACTAAGTAGGTTTTACTAGATTTACGTACAAATTATTACGGCCCCAAACATCGATCATGAATCCTTGAAATGGGGGAAATGAGGCCGGCTTGTTACGTTGCTAATATTTCCTTTGTCCGGCAAATGGCATCGGTTAAAGCAACTGGGTTTAAAGCGGTTGAATGCAATTTAGGACGGTAGGCCGCACGTAATGGTTATTGTAGTACGGTTTATGTGTTTCGGAGAGTCATCTGTTGGTTTTTGGGTGTTCTGCGGTTTTCCTGTTCTATTATACCTTAATAAATCTCTATGTATTTGTCAAGCTATCTATCAAGTCTATTTATTATCTCTTAGGTCATGGATGGAGGTGAATATTTAACAAATTCCGATTTGCTTTGATCCATGCTGCTTAGCGTCTACTTTAAACGTAAGTACTTGACATAAACCTGAGCGATAATAATCTCGCTTGAAGAGGTTAGACGTGACCCTAGGATATCGCCATTACAGCTCTAGTGGCAGAGATATTAACAGAAAAAAATAGACCGAAAATTTTCTTTTAAAACACAACGTGAAAACGTTTAGAACGAACGAATATTGTACAGTACATTCAGTGTTGTGAATACTAGCGTGCTACATTGGGGTCTGGTGAACAAACGTGTTTGAAAACCGAAAACACTGCCAGTGCGATTGTGAGGTATTTTGTATAATAACAGTATTTGTCTTTTTGTGAAACAAAGTTTTGAACCGAAAGGTCAAAGCACCAGACAGGTCAAAGCGACATATTCATATTTGACACTTTTGAAGCCCAACACATATATTATTATTATACACATCTATCTTCAAACGGACAACAATACCTATGTGACCTCGTGTCAACCCTTACAAGTGACGTATCACTTGAAATGTGCTGAAAATATTTGGATTCAAGGGTCATCAAACCTTTGCTGAATAGCTCTCGGTAGAAAATAGGGCCACCACATTCGTTTCGCTGGATGCCTCAGTAGGTCTCTGAATAAATATATCAGACGGATGGGTAGCAGCATCTTCCTGTGAAATAACATCAAACTGTGATTGACAACCCGTCTGTGGTGATCATGGAGCTACTTCCGGAGGTGAACGCCCGTCAGGCGTTTGAAATGAATGAAAAGACGTGAACCGGTGCATAAAGTGTCGAGTCCGTGAGTAGCGTGCTTAGCAGAAATACGTGTAAACTCAACGCGACTTTGTAACACACTAGTAAGCGTGCTACTGCTTACTTGATGGTCGCAACCGGCACATCGGCATTGGCAGTGGGGGCATGCCCGCGATTTACCGCGGGCAGGGCTCCGCTAGCTACCCTGGTTTTGTTCATCTGGCGCGGCATGCAGCAATGCAAATTGACAGCCGCAGTCACGGGCGCTCCGCCGTGGGTATTGGAAGCAACGGTCCAGGAGGCAGCATACGTCCTGCGCACGACACGATTTAAGCAACACGCACATATAGCAACTATACTATGCCCGCTACGAACGTTATACAAACATGAGACGTCATACATGTACTTATAGGGTGGGAAATCATTTGACATTGAATATGTACGTGCTAGAATATATTTACAGACCCCTTGTCTCCAATACATTAAAAATCTGATTCAGTATGTATTTTAGCACATTCATACTGGTCTAATGATTCCAAGCTTTATGGAACGATACAATAGCAATCTACGATGTTGTATTTGTTCAGTAGTTTTTATGGATTGGCGTCTGTTTCTGTACTGAAGTAAATATCTAACTCTTTCTGACTTAAAAACAATAGCTATTCGAAACAGATTATCATAAGGGAATAATAACAAATACGTTCCATTAAGTAGATAAAGATGTTAAGAAATGGAGGGTATTGATTCGCTCACGCTTGAATCGTATTTCAAACGATTTGTTTTTTAGAAATCACAAATAAAACATAATTGCTGATATATAGACGGTGTTCTCTGTAACTTAGTAAATAGGAACTTACAACTCTGTAATAAGGCACATTATGAGAAATATATTACTACAGAAAATATCTAAATTATTTACGAAATGATCATTAAATTAGTTACACGTGTAAATGGATATAATGTTTAATAGCAGTTTCGATCTTGAACGCAATTTCTAGTCATGAACTCATAACACAATCATAAGGCTCTGTTCCACTTCCAAAGTAGGTTAAGCAAACTTACAATAAACACGTTAGTCTATGCATGGAGTATCATTATTTATTGAGAATACACTTTATAAATGTTAGAATTGAGTTGTTTTTCTTTTAATTTGAAAATGGTTCAGCGTTACGTCACTCTCTCGCCTTGTTGTAGCGATGATGCGCTCACCCTGACCCATAAGTAACCCATTGGCAGACCTTTGAAGATATTCTAATTTTACCCGTCAGGAAACCCAGAGTCTGACAAAGAATCCAAGTTGTATTTGAAGAAAATATAAACAAAACGTTTGTTAAAATATCAATGGATTTATTTTGGGGACTGCCATTTTTTGGATCGAATTTTAACATTAATTTTATTTGGTGAGATTCTTGGAGCTTCTGTCCAAGCAGATTGTGTCAAAACTTTCTACCAAACCCGGTCACAAAAAAGATGTTAAGTGGTCTATGTCAGTCATAACCAGGTACGTACACAATTTATTACGAAACAACTTCATCGATATTGATGAAACTTTACTGGATATAAAAGAAAATAAGAAAAGTTAGTTTATTCACAATAACGACAGTAGTAGACATAAATGAAATGAAAATGGCAAGCATTTGTGCCTCAAGGTCTTCAAAAGTTTACACATACGTTTTTTGAATATTCCAGTAACAATATAATATTATTTAGGGTCCTTTAATCCGAACGACTGCCTGGTTGGCCGTGTGGTTGCAGTGTTCGATTGCCGGGTCGAGTAAAGTATAACTGGGATTTTTTTTTAATCTTAGTAGTAGCACGGAGTTTAGAATTTGCCCGGTATATGGCAATAGGCTCACCCCTTATTACATGGGACTTATGACATAAATAGTGAAAAGTGGATGTTGCATTGTACAATGGCATTAACTGGCGTTAAGTGTAGGTACCTCTGTCCTTCGGGGATGAAAGGCGTGATAATGAGTTTAATCCGAACATGATCCAAATCCTAGTTAATAAAAAAATCCTATTGTCAAAGTCTTTTAATAAAAAATGTGTTCCCAAAACTAAATAAATATTAAAGTTGTAATAAAATATTTCATTTCTCTCCATCCCTAGTTGCTGGCTTATGTAGAAACTGACATTTTTAATCGTATGAGCTTGTGCGCGACACGACTAATCTGTACGTAATCCTACTTACAAAAGCCGTAGTAGTGAGGAAAATAAACAATACCTACTTATTATTTGGCTGAACAATTCATAATTTGTGTTACACATTGTTTTGGATAGTTTTGTATGATGTAATTTATTTAAATGTATGAAAAATGATTTTAGACAGCTATAAGGGACCTTTAAATTTGATAAAGTGTCAATTTTGTTATATTATTATGTTTTATAATTTACCGTATTTATATAAATGGTATACTTACTATATGAAAAGTAATCGATTCTATTTACTGCTTTTTTAGTCTTTATCATCTATCATCTATATAAATAAAAATGAATTTCCGTTCGTTAGTCTCGCTAAAACTCGAGAACGGCTGAACCGATTTGGCTAATTTTAGTTTATTTGTGTTCGTAGAAGTCCAGGGAAGGTTTAAAAGGTGAGAATTTTAGGCGGTACGAGTCTGCTGGGTCATCTAGTAAAGAATAATAATATAGCTGAAAGCGACACTTTGCCTCCAATCTCAAATCAAGTCAATGCATCTATAGTGTGTTTCTTTTTTCTTTACTTTTCTTTTTTTAAAAAACGTTGCCCCACACTAGGATTTTCTCTTGTGTTGTAGTGTGTGTACAAGGTGATTTACAATTATATGACATAATGTGTTCTAACTATAATATTGCGAAAAAAATAATAGGAACCATTGATATTGTTCTTAGGTATTTCAAAATTGTAGAATAAATCTATGAATTGACAAATGTTTTTTCGGATTTTCGGTCCTAAAATTCTCAATTGCAACACGAGATCTTTATGATACAAGCTTTTTTTTATTTAAATTCAAAATGATAACATTGAGATTATTTTTGCCTACTCTAACAGATGTTTCAGAAAAAATAACTAGTTTTTGTCCTGAATGCGGTCCTAAGCTACACCAAAATCTATATAACATGATAATACCATTATAATCCGTTGTCCTCAGTAACTTGTCATCACAGTCTTATCTATGTTAGTAAGCTTCTGTAGTTAATGCTAGCACTTCATTTGAACACACTGAAACCCTATTGTAGTGTTTATCTGCCTTTGTCAGATGTTCACATAATCTCAGTAATTTTCTATGGAGACACTCACAGCAAGCTATACATAACTAGTTTATCGTGGTCTCGTTTTGTACAATCATTCTACTGATACAACGGTCAGTTTATACTGGTTGTGCTTAGTTTGATGTTATCTACAAGAGCTCATACATAAAGGGACTTTAAATTCGTTTAAAGTTATAGGATTAGAATAATCTTAGAACAATGAGGGTTTGAGGTTGTATTTAAATACATAATTGGGTAGTTTCCAGGGTATCAAAATTAAAAATCTAATTAGTCCGTCGATTAGATAATCAAAAAATATTAGACACGTATTTTTTATTTTCTCGTATTAAGTTGCATTACTTAGATAAAATGGCGCTAAGTTTTGGAGTGGGAGGTCGTTACGTCATAACGTGCTACAAAATGTAACACACTGTGACGTCACACGACATTTCAAATTAATATATCGTCGAAAGTATTTAATTTTGTGAGAAAAGAAAACATACATGTCTAAAGTTTTCATTTAATTAATAAAAAAAAGACGGACATTAAAATAAACTTACTTTTTTATACTGTTAACATAATCAGGTTAGGAGCATCAAAATTTCATAATATTATTGTTAAAAACTGCAAGTTACAATAAATAATTATCCTATTTATTGAAAATTCTATGCCATTGAGGTTCCCATTAGACGAGTGTAATTAAAAATACAAAAATCCATATTATAATTGAGAAAGTTAACAAATAACATATAATTGCAAACTGATTAAATGTCCAAGTAACAAATTTGCAATCTGATTGAATTTAAAGTAACCAGGAATTAATCCAACGTAAGTACTTACGTGGAAAACATTTTCCATTTTCATCGTTTAACTTTAATACACCGCAAATCTGTGAGCATTATTTATTTTATTAAACCTTATTTTAATTTAAATAACGTGCATTTCAGCTTACCCTGAGTGAAGCTTAAATAATACCTCTTTATGAAGTTTTTATTTACATTAACAATATGGGAAAATATGGATTTTCTACGAATTTTTTGTATAACATGGAAAAGGTTCGTTTTTTTTAATGGAATTAATAAGCCGGTAAACGAGCAGACGGATTACCTGATGGCAAGCAATCGGCTTCACCCATGGACACCCGAAACACCAGGTTAGTGCGGTTACCGGCGTTTTGGGGATAAGGATTCATGAGTTGGAGAGATTTGGTTACCGGTAACCTCACTCACACAACAAAACAACGCAAGTGTTGTTGCACGTCTGATTTCTGTGAGGCCGTAGTATCCCTCCGGTCGAGTCGGTCCATTCGTGCCGAAGCATAGCTCTCCCACACTTACGAAGTCGTTAGGTATGATTAAAAATGAATTTGAATAACTTTTTAATGTAGTTGAATGTTGTATGGTTTTTTTTCAGTGGAGTAATGACTATGAGAGCAGTTCTCATTGAGTTTTTGTAAATATTAGTACGACATTACTTCTATAAAATCAAACATTCATCTACTGTGTGGAATATACTACGAAAATTGTGATAAAATATAAAATTTCTATGGCTTTTAAGAGAAGTAATTATTAAAATGACAGACGTAACACGACGCTTGGAATTATAGACATCATTTCCACACCCTTCTTACGAAGAGAAAGCGAATTGTAGCTAATATTTTTATACATAGAGTCGCATTTAC